TTTATCTCGAATCCCAGACGGGGAAGGGGGATATCTGGAAAAGCTGTTAGTCCGAAGTATGGTAAAATATCACCTTACACATGACGCTTAGTACAATCCCCATCTGGTCTATTATTTCAAAATTTAGAATAACTAAGTGCCCCGGCATATGTCAGGGAGTCAAACCTGCCATCAGTTTGCTTGTAAGCAACCCTCGAAAGAGAGAAACCCGTCAGCATTCTTGCCAGCCGGTATTGATTGCTGTTGGCATTTGCTACCACTCGGGTTACTTCTAAGTGTATGCACTTCTCATAGAAAGCGAATACACCGAGAGGGTTTTTTGACAGAAATATATACATAAAAAAATAAGTCAGTTAAATACGTGTATGGATTTAACGCATAATTTAGTGTTGTAGAAATTTTAGTAATACAAACAATGAATATCCCTGGCATGGGGAACTACTGGATGAGGAAAGGAGCGTGAAATCGCGTCTGTGCGTTAAAATATGTAGTTTGTTTGGCGTTGCTGGCCGATCATCGAATTTTGATAATTAATGAAATTACACACACTGGAAGTGCCATTCAGATCTCCCGAATAAGCAAGCCTGTGTGACTCGGTAGCCTGTGTCTGTGTTTTGCAGGAATGCGGCTGAATGCGAATACAAAGTTGATCGGAGAGCGGGTTATATTAGTGCCGTACGAGAAGCATCATGTTGAGAAGTATCACCAGTGGATGGAGGTACATCCGAATGCATTCACTTCTGTTCCAAGAAATAAGTGTAGAAGCTTAAAAGTTATTACTAACTGCACATGGAATGTTGGATCTTAGTGAATTTGAACTGCAGAAGTGTAGAAGCTTAAAAGCAACTGATGATTCCCGCTCCTAACCACATGCAAAATTCGGTCAGTGTGTATACAGATGCTAAGGGATGAAACACAGACAGACTGCATCATAAAATGTTTTCTCATACACATGACATTCACGTGAAATCCTTCCATTCTTCTGTTTCATTAAAAAAAAAAAAAAACTTGCTTTTCGATCTGCACAGAATGGACCGGCTTTTCTTTGTTCGGGCATCTTAGGCCTCTGATTCCCTGATATTTAACGGGTAATTTTAGAAATTCAGAATGATGAATTACGGCGGTTGACCGGCTCGGAGCGCTTATCACTGGAAGATGAGTACATTATGCAGATGAAGTGGCGCGAAGATGATGACAAATGCACATTTATCATTTTGAGCAGAAAGCTGATT